AAATGTAAATCCAAGATGGCGGCTGCAATAGATATCAATTTTTTTATCATGGGTGTCATTCTCATAGTTTTCGCGGGTGTTGAAGCCGATAGTGCTGTCGAAATGTAAATCTAAGGTGGCGGCTGCAATAGGTATCAATTTTTTCATCATGGGTCTCATTTTCATGGGTTTCGAGGGTGTTGAAGCCGATAGTGCTGTCGAAATGTAAATCCAAGATGGCGGCTGAATCAGGTATCAATTTTTTCATTATGGGTGTCATTTTCATGGTTTTCGAGGGTGTTGAAGCCGATAGTGCTGTCGAAATGTATTTAAACTACTTTTAAAAGTTCCGTATAATCATGTTATACGTAATTTTTCTAATGCGCTTAGGGCATACCCAATTCGATTTACCAATTTTCATTTAATTTTCATATTTTTCGTCTCTTACGATATCTACTTGACTAAGGGCCGATTCAATCGTTAGGTATAAGTTATCCATCAAATAAATTACAACCAAACTTAATATAAAAGTGCAACAATCGAACAATTTTATTCGTACATCTGTAATTTTTAATTTGTTCATTGATGAACATTAATTTTAAATGAGAATTGAAAAATGAGCGCCAAATAGTGTGATGCATTCTTTTACATCGCGGTGACTACGCGAGAAGCAATCACATTATTAGTAATCATATTATGAGTATAAGCACATATTATAGTACAAGTAATCACATTATCGGGTACTCGTATATCTCAATCTATTTCATTTATCCGGTGTTCTTTTAAAAGACTATAGCATAAATTGGGTTAAAGAATATCCGGAAAAACTGGCTTAAAGTGACGCCTGATTTTATTACATGCGTGTTAAGACGTGAGAAGTTACTTACGTCTTAACTTCTATTGTTAATCGATTTCGCAGCAGACTTTCAAACAGCAAATACTCAGTATCCGCATTATTGTGCTTACGTCAACGGCGATAATTAGAATTGAACACTCGCAAAAAACCGCTCAAGTATGCTGGGTTATATGACATTACTTTTATACGTATGTTTGTATAAATAGTGCAGTTACAGTACAGCCTTTATACGTCCCACTGCTGCGCACAGGTCTTTATTTTTTAGAGGGATATAGAGCTTAGAGAGAGAGGGAGAGAGAGAGAGAGAGAGAGTGAGATAGAGAGCTGTTCTAGCTGACTTCACGTGTCTTCAAAATATTTTTTTTATAAGATAAAGGCGACTAACGAGCACACAGTCCACCTGATAGTAAGTGCTGTGGCCATAGACGTCTACATTTATCCTAAATTAAGAATTAAACTGCAGATGCGGTATCACCCCTGAGATCTAAGACGGAATGCTTCGTTACCAATAAAAACGGTCTCCGGCTGTGCGTATTTTTTAATTTAGACCAAAACACGCAATCTATGTGCAAACTTTTAAGTTAGAAATATATTTTTATTCAGTTTAGTTTTACTTCAATCTTCGTACCCCATATGAACGTCAAAATTTAACACCGAGCAATTTTAACCAAAAATTAGACTGATTCAGAGAGGAACCGGCACGAAACTATAGAGTTACTTTTTCTGGTTTTTTTTAGAAACTGAAAATTGTATATTACCTTTATAATTTCATTCATTCATTAATTTATTTAGACTTAGTAGGCGGGTTGCCATGGCATCCGCAATATTTATTATCATTTTGAGTTATTATTATGAAGATGCTGTTCCATTTCCCTTTATCGCCTTACATACATTTTTTGTATATCAATGTGAGTAGTAGATATTCTTACACCGCCACTACACGATCAATTATTTTACGGACGGTACTAGATCAGTATGGTAAAAGCAATGAAGGATAATTAAAGCTCATATAGGTACTATATAACTAAGCAGTACATGTACAGCGCATATACTATATTACTGTTTTGTAATATAATATATGCGCATTAACTATAGAACAGAATAGAATGTCACGAGCGATATCGTCAACGGCGTAAGTGTTGATACATGTTACTTATTTTACTGCTATAGTATGATAACTGCTTTGACTGAATTGAAACGTTATTGGACAAGTTTATTTACGGATCACATGATTGAGGTCGTTAGCTAACGTACACACGGTACATTGCGGCTGCGGGACAAAGCAAACAACATTACCCCGAGTGACATAGCTTTATTATACAATATACAGTATGATAGATGGCTTATACGAGTACCTTATACCTTATATCATTTAGATTGAGATTTCATAAATAACTAGTGCCCGTCTAGTGGTTGCAATTTGACCGTAATTTATAAAATTTTACATGCTTTAATTATTGTTCTAAGGGCAATACGACAATCATGTGTATGACATTAGTAGTACGAACGTAAATATGTTAGGTATATTTAATTTAATGTATTTGTAACACTTATATACGGGGTTATTTTTCAAAGAGAAGCCAAATTTTAAACTTAGTTTCAAATATATAAATAATGTGCACGACGCAACAATATTAAACAAACGAAAGAAAATGCTTATTGTAACCGGCGCTAGTTGAACAACCTAGGAGCGGTGGGCGGAGCCAGGACGACGGTGTAATTATCAGGCCACGCCTCTGGTTCGACAACTAGCAAGGGTTATACGGCGGAACTAGCGCAACCTTATGTTGAATTTAAATTATAATTTGTGTAAATAATTGTATTACTTGTATCGAACGATAAAAAAATAATGATTGTATTATAACTAAGTTTAAGGTTGAGTTGTAACTGTGCAATAACTCTCCCAAATAAAGGCACCGTATGAACAGGGAGAGTTAGCATAGTCTTCTAATGAAAACTATAATTGTTAAATATAATAAATGTTTACTTTATTATATAATAAATATATTAGGCCGTTAGGCACATAAAAAAAATAGTAGTAGTGTAACCAAAGAGCATGTTATCGTGACGCGGCCGCGGAGCAAATGAAGCAACGCGCACCGCGCCACGACGTTTTATATTTATAGTGCTGAGGCGGGGGGAAGGATTCTCCGCCTAAAGCAGCTGAAAATTATAATGTAAACCCGTAAATAAGTAAAAATATTGATATGTACACCCTAGTCTAACAAGTAGTTATAAGAATATTATATAGTGAATTATGTTTATTAGTTTGTAAGGTTATTAAATAAATAAAGATAGGCGCGGGGGTGAGGCAAGGGTCCGCTGGCCAGCAGCGGCCAAATCATATAAAAGACGGGCCGGCCGCTAGGGTCAGCAGTCGCTCTCCAGCCACCGAAAAGGCACCAGCAAGAAAAGAAAAAGTACAAGTTCCTCCTCACCGCCGCTTGCCTCCAGTTAAAAGCAAGACCAGCGCGTTTTATTCCATTTTTCGCACGGCATTACGGCGATCCCTAATATTAATGGTCCTTCGAGAAGCCGGATTACTAGAAGAAAAAGACAATATCGGTCTTGGTATTGCCGGAAGAAAGAAGCAAACCGCAAGAACGAAAAAATATTATTGTGAAGAAGAATGGTGATTACGCGTAGTAACAACGGAGAATCATCGAAGCGTCGCAAGGATGAACAAACAACCCAGGGGGCCACAGAAGAGGCCTCCGGGGGCGACTCAGCCGCTAGTGGTTCAACAAACACCACTAGCGAAACCACAACGGTCAGCGATACGACCGCTACCTCGGCAACCGATAGAACAACCGCAACGGAAGAAACCCAGCAAGAGGGTGATCAAAGATCGCAGTGCACATTGAAGCCCGGCGAGACTAGGTCACGCCGCTCCGTAGCCTCACGCAAGAGACTCCTCGCGGAGTTAGTGGCGAAAGAGCGGTTAGCCGAACTCAAGCTCGAGCAGGCTCAGTTGCAAGCAAGAACAGAATTGCAAGAAATACACGTGCAGCGACTACAAGCAGAAGCCGGATCAACCGATGAAGATGAAGAAATAGAAGACGATTTGGCATCAGTGCGCATTAGTACATGGTTGCAAGAAAAACCTACATCGCAACCCGCGCCTCAGCCCGCGCCACAACCCGCGCCACAACCCGCGCCGCAGCCCGCGCCGCAACCCACGTCGTACTTCGCGCCGCAACCAGCACTGCAGATCGCACCACCCGTACTTCAACAGTGTGCGCCGCAATACGCTCCGCAACATACCGCGCCGCAGAAAGAAGACTATGTACAGGCGCAGCAGCAAATCGACGTCGCTACCTTAGCCGCTGCTCTATCACAAGCAGTACGAAGCACAAGGGAGCCGCCGAAATATATACAAGAGCTGCCCTCATTCAATGGTAGCAGCAAGGAGTGGCTCAGCTTCAAGACAATGTACGAAGAATCTTCAAAGTACTTCACGGCGAACGAAAACATAGCGAGAATACGCCGAAGCTTAAAAGGGACAGCAAAAGAAGCCGCAGGTTGCCTACTTATAAGCCAACCAGATCCCAGAATTATAATAGAAGCTTTGGAAAGGAGATTCGGACGACCAGAAGCGTTAATTCACTTGGAAATAGAGAAGCTGAAGCTGCTGAACAAAGTTACGGACAATCCCAGGGAGCTATGCATATTCGCAAATCGCATAGCGAACGTAGTGGGCACCGTGGAAGCACTCAAGAAAGCACACTATCTGCATAGTCCAGAAATGACGCGAGTTATCACAGACAAACTCACGCCCATATTGAAAAGCAAATGGTACGACTATGCAGCCAGAAAGAAAGAAGATATCCCAGAGCTTAAGAAGATATCAATGTTCTTAAACGAAGAAGCGGATAAATGCAGCGCGTATGCCTTGCCGGAGTTCATCGCAGAGGACAGCGAAACGAGAGAGCGAAGACCGAGAAAAATAGAACGTGCCTTCGCCACAAGCAAGAAACCATATGAAGAACGCTGCCCTCAATGCAAACAAGAACACAAACTGCCCGATTGCAAGTCATACGCCGCTCTGTCCACAAATGACAGATGGGAAGTAGCAAAAAAGTACAATATCTGCTACCGCTGTCTGCGAGGCAAACATCGTCGATTACTGTGCAAAGCTCCACCGTGCGGAAAAGGCGGATGCATGATGAAACACCATAAATTGTTGCATCACGACAGAACAGCAGTAATGGAAAAAGAACCCGCTATGGAAACCGCAACATCGGCAAAGGAGGTCAACACAGCGACTCGACCGTACAAGCACCGCCGCGCTTACCTAAAGATTGCGCCCGTAACAATAAGGGGGCCGCTAAGCTGCGTCGAAACATACGCATTATTGGATGAAGGAAGCACGGTCACCTTAGTCGATGCCTCAATCGCCGACGTCATCGGCGCCGACGGCCCAGCCCACACAATGTGGATACAAGGGGTCGGCTCGGAGGTGAAACACGAGAAGAGCAAGATCGTCAGCTTTAAAATAAGAGGAACGTACGCGCAAGAAGAACACAACATAGAAGCAGCGCGTACTGTAGAGCGGTTGGACTTCGCGCCAGAATCCGTGAATGAAGATCACTTGGGGAATTGCCCACATCTGTTGGATATCAAAGAGGATATCACCTACGAACGCGCCTCACCGAAAGTACTAATCGGGCAAGATAACTGGCACCTCATAGTGTCTAGAAAACTGCGCGTCGGCCGTCGAGACCAACCAGTCGCCTCATACACCAACCTGGGCTGGGTTCTGCATGGCTGTCATAGCTCATTGACGTCGACGGTCACCTTCTGCGGCAGACTACATCAGAGGGAAGATGCACCACCGATAGAAGAAGAAATAAAAAATTATTTCAAATTGGAGTCGCTGTGCATCGAGCCGAGAAGACCGAAAGAAGATCCCGAGCAGCGAGCCATGCAAATATTGGACGAAACCAGCCAGAGGTCAGCGGACGGCAGATTCGAGACAGGGTTGTTGTGGAAACAAAAGGACTTCCAAATACCAAATAATTATAAAGAGGCGGAAAGGCGCCTGCACACCTTAGAGAAGAGGCTCGACCGAGACAGCAATCTCAAGCTACAGTACGAAGAACGCATCGAGAACCTCTTCAACTCGGGTTACGCAGAGCGCGCGCCAATGCCACCGCCGCAAGGAAGGACATGGTATCTGCCACACTTCCCAGTCATCAACCCTGCGAAACCGAACAAACCGCCGAGATTGGTACACGACGCCGCAGCGAAGACAGCCGGAATATGTCTCAACGATATGCTTCACTCGGGGCCCGACTTATTACAATCACTGCCCGGAGTGATCATGAGGTTCCGACAGTATCCGTATGCAGTGAGCGCCGATATAAAAGAAATGTTCATGCAGATTAAAGTGCGCAAAGAAGATAGAGACGTTTTACGTTTCTTGTGGAGAGGCAAGCGGCGGGAGGACCAACCGGAGGAATATAGGATGACGTCAATCATCTTTGGAGCGACATCATCACCATGCACAGCATTATACATCAAAAATAAAAATGCTGAAGAACATGCAGAAGCGTACCCAGAAGCTGCGGTCGCCATAAAAAGAAACCATTATATGGACGACTACTTGCAGAGCTTCCACTCTGTCACGGAAGCTCAGCAAACAGTAAAAGCAGTCGATCACGTCCACAAACAAGCGGGATTCGTACTCAGCGGGTGGACATCGAACGAAGAAAAAACAATAGAAGAAATAACGACAGAGCATAGACAACACGACACGACCGTGTGCCTGGGCGGAAAAGAAACTGAGAAGACGTTAGGGCTGCTCTGGCATGTACAAAGCGATCATATTGGATTCAATACTAACAATATGAAGATGCCTGCCGACGTAAAAGAAAAACAACGCTTGCCAACTAAACGAGAAGCGTTGAGCGTCATAATGGCATTATTTGATCCGCTGGGGTTAATATCACCGGTGACCACCCCAGCGAAGAGAATATTTCAAGACACATGGCGTTACAAGGCGGACTGGGACGACCCTCTGCCAACAGAATTAAAAGAAAAATGGGAAGGCTGGATTACTTCACTTAACGCCATAGAACAACTAAGAATACCGCGATGCTACGATTACAACCCGGTGTCGACGCGCCAACTACACACATTCGTCGACGCAAGCGAGGAGGCCTACGCAGCAGCAGTGTATTGGAGAACGGAGCGAGCAGACGGCAGCGTTAACATATCATTGGCCGCCGCCAAGAGCCGCGTAACACCACTGAAACCAGTTTCCATACCACGGCTCGAGTTACAAGCGGCACTGCTGGGAGCTCGTCTTGCGCAGACCGTGATCGATGAACACGATTGCGACATAGCAGGCAAGACATACTGGTGCGACTCCCGTACTGCACTGGTGTGGATAAGATCGGAGCCTCGCGCGTACAAAGCTTTCGTCGCTCATCGCCTGGCGGAGATAGAAGATACGACCAAAAAGAACGAATGGCGTTGGCTACCGTCTAAAGAAAACGTGGCAGACGACGCAACCCGAGCCACACCAGAAGGGTTCGACGAGTCGCACCGATGGTTCCGAGGGCCCCCGTTTCTGCAGCGTCCACCGGCAGAATGGCCGCAGGAAGAGAAAACGACACAATATGACACCGGGGAAGAGCGAGAAATATGTAACATCGCTGTTAAAAGTGAAGACTCGACAACAACACATCTTCCACAGATAGGAAGATTTTCTAAATGGATTCGCCTCATAAGGGCGACAGCGAGAGTCCTCCTATTCATCGACATGTGCAGACCAAACAAGCACGTAGTGAAGGCTGGGCGTAAACGCAACAAAGCAAGACAAGGTAGCGACCCTGGCTGGCAGAGAACAAACAAACGCAACACCCCCGCCAAGGAGAAAAAGGCGACTCCTACTGCCTCTTCGCTTGTAGGAATACCGGCCGCTTATCATATGAGAGCCGAACAACTGTGGGTGCAAGCCAGTCAGCGGGAAAGCTTCACGAAGGAGCTCAAGAGAATCACCAGCGGAAGTGTTCCGGGAGGCGACGACAAACTAGGCCACCTGAGCACATACATTGATGAAGAGGGGACCCTACGCCTCAGAGGTCGAATAAAAGCGGCATCAGAAGTGGAGGACGACATGTACGACCCTCCCATATTAGACGGGAAGCACGCATACACTCGCCTGTACATAGCACACGTACACGAGAGGCTGCATCACGGAGGCGTGGAAACAGTTGTGAATGAATTAAGACAGAGATTGTACGTAAGAAAAATACGTCCAGTAGTGAAAACTGTCGTCAAAGGATGCCTGCCGTGCCGTCTAAGAAAAGCCAAGCCTGCATCACCGTCTACAGGAAACCTGCCGTCCGCACGCCTCGCTCATCACGCACGTCCGTTCACATACACCGGACTAGACTACTTCGGGCCAATAGAAGTCACAGTGGGACGACATCGCGAAAAGCGCTATGGCGCGTTATTTACCTGCATGACGTCGCGAGCAATACACATAGAAGTAGCCCACTCGTTGAGCGCAGACTCAGCCGTGTCGGCACTTAGGCGTTTTATGAGCAGAAGAGGATGCCCAAAAGAAATATGGAGTGACAACGCTACGTGCTTCAAGGCAGCAGACAAGGAGATGGCCGAAGCAGCACTCGCAGCCCTCGAGCACGAAACCACGTGTCAACAGATTGTGTGGAAGTACATACCGCCATCAGCACCGTTCATGGGCGGCGTATGGGAGCGAATGGTTCGCTCCGTAAAAGAAGCCCTACGCGTCACCCTCAACGAGCGCTATCCCAGCGACGAAACATTGGGGACCCTGCTCGCCGAGGTCGAAAATACTGTAAACTCCAGACCTCTCACACACGTCTCAGTCGACCCAGGAGACCCTGAAGCCATCACGCCGAATCACATCCTCATCGGTCCCAACTCGCACGTACCTGCGCCGGGACACTTCAGCAAGAATGACGTGACGGCCCGCCAGCAATGGAAACGAGCTCAAGCCCTAGCCGACGTGTTTTGGAGAAGATGGGTTAAAGAATACCTGCCCCTACTCCAACACCGGCGGGAGCCCAGCAGCATAGGAGTATCGCCGAAGATTGGAGACCTAGTCATCATTTGTGACTCCAATCTACCACGCAACACCTGGCCCAGAGGGAAAATAAGTAAGGTATATCCTGGCGTCGACGGAGAGGTACGAGTAGTGGACGTAACCACCGGCAGTGGGCACATACTAAGAAGACCAACGAAGAAGATCGTCGTGCTACCAGAGGGATCGCAGCGTGGCGACGGCGGGAGAATGTGCACGACGCAACAATATTAAACAAACGAAAGAAAATGCTTATTGTAACCGGCGCTAGTTGAACAACCTAGGAGCGGTGGGCGGAGCCAGGACGACGGTGTAATTATCAGGCCACGCCTCTGGTTCGACAACTAGCAAGGGTTATACGGCGGAACTAGCGCAACCTTATGTTGAATTTAAATTATAATTTGTGTAAATAATTGTATTACTTGTATCGAACGATAAAAAAATAATGATTGTATTATAACTAAGTTTAAGGTTGAGTTGTAACTGTGCAATAACTCTCCCAAATAAAGGCACCGTATGAACAGGGAGAGTTAGCATAGTCTTCTAATGAAAACTATAATTGTTAAATATAATAAATGTTTACTTTATTATATAATAAATATATTAGGCCGTTAGGCACATAAAAAAAATAGTAGTAGTGTAACCAAAGAGCATGTTATCGTGACGCGGCCGCGGAGCAAATGAAGCAACGCGCACCGCGCCACGACGTTTTATATTTATAGTGCTGAGGCGGGGGGAAGGATTCTCCGCCTAAAGCAGCTGAAAATTATAATGTAAACCCGTAAATAAGTAAAAATATTGATATGTACACCCTAGTCTAACAAGTAGTTATAAGAATATTATATAGTGAATTATGTTTATTAGTTTGTAAGGTTATTAAATAAATAAAGATAGGCGCGGGGGTGAGGCAAGGGTCCGCTGGCCAGCAGCGGCCAAATCATATAAAAGACGGGCCGGCCGCTAGGGTCAGCAGTCGCTCTCCAGCCACCGAAAAGGCACCAGCAAGAAAAGAAAAAGTACAAGTTCCTCCTCACCGCCGCTTGCCTCCAGTTAAAAGCAAGACCAGCGCGTTTTATTCCATTTTTCGCACGGCATTACGGCGATCCGTAATAAATAATGATATACCGTTATTGCAATTTTTGAAAATACGAGTAAATAAGGCTTCTAATTTTATATGTAATTAATGTATATTGAATGTGATTTATGGGCATCAAGGTTTTGCTAACCGATCGACCCTTACAAATGTGTGCGTGTGCAGTAAAATCAGTTAAAATAAGGTATACCACGCATTTTCAATTTAAAAGGTAAAAAGGACCGAATGTTTGAGTATTTTTAATTTAATTTTTCTTCACCCTTTGCCTATATTACTTATTTTGTACCTTTTCTGCTAATTTGGTCAGTTATTGCAAAATAACCCTGTTTATATATTTGCTTTCTGCAATCGTTATTCACATATATTTAACTATGCAAAATCAGACACTATTTCGTGCGCGCAGTATGCAAAAAAAAGGGGTAGGTACAAAGATTTCGCCTTACGTATAATAAATAAAAAAATGAAAATAAAAATAAAATAATAATAATAAATAAAAAATATTACATAGAGGGATATGATAAGATATGAAGTGATATTATTATAATAATGTCCTCCAGACCGAATTTCTGTTACGGCGGCCAATCTCAACGGAGACTAGCCATAAATTAGGATTATAGTGCCCAAGTGTATGCGCAAGCACAGGTGCACTCTCTATTCCCTCACTCTCATAGTCCGATGGGAGGGTAAACTGACACGACCGGAGAGAGATCAGGCGCAGGACCAACGGCTTTACGTGCTTTCCGAGGCACGGGGGTCAGACACCGCCAATTTCCTGACTCCGGGCAGCTACTGAGAATTTTAGGAAAATAAGGCCTTTAGGAGATGCTTCGAATTCGAGAACTGAAGCGAGACTGCCTTTCTTGACCGATTGTTCGGCTTTTATACCTTTTTAGAGAGAACGGAAAAATTATTTAAATTAAACGCAATTTTTTTGTAAATGGCCAAGAGGAAAGAGTATTTATGTGGAATTATCGAAATAGAAACAACAGACCGGTAGAGAATTTGAATATAATTGTCATGACAACCAAATAAACAACGATGTCAAAACATGTCAAATTTTGGTTTTAGGCTCGTAATAGAAAAACGACAAGATTTAAGTGAAAAATGAGATACGAGTATTATTGATATAGGAAAAAAGGTAGCGCAACTGCGCGCACAAAGCCCGAAATTGCAGAGTTACGGAAAACTAAATAAAAGATCGAAAAAGGTAGACTCCATTGACACCAATTTAAAAGTGTTGATAGTGTGAAAATACGAAGTAAAAATGATTTGTTATTGTGTTCTTATGGTTTAAAATCGTTACAGGATCCTATGGAAATAAAGGTGATGTAAAATATCCAGTTTTGAGGTGAATGCAGAAAATCGAAACAGAATGGAAAAATGAATTTAAAATAATGTAAAATGATATGTAAGTAACATAACACTACAACTGTGTGCTCGTTTGTCACCCTAATTCTATAAAAAAGTGATTCAAACATGTGCCGTGTAGTGGCACCTCAAGAGAATCCATCACTCCATTTCCTAAAGATCACATGGCTTTTGATAGATAGCGGTATAGCCATCCCACCCATAATATAGTTGCAGCGTGGTTCTACCACGACTAAATTTTATTCCTCACACATGCCGGTTTTCTAATGACGTTTTTCTTTACTACTGACCACATGCTTCGTTCATTCACTCATTCTTTACAGCCTGTCATAAGCCGGTTGATGAACCTAGATGTCTATGTATGTGCCATAGATGACACGCACGACAGGCGGGTTGTCAACTGCAGTTGTTGCCTGTTTCGTGTTGTTATCAGATGCTGCTGCCTGCTGCTTCTGTAGCCTCTTAAAACACACAGTGGATGATTTAGGGAGGATTTTTATAAGAGTCGGTGAGATTCAAATCCTGGTTACTCGATTACTGTGAATTTTACGCCAAGCGATTAGCCCATGACCTATACACATTATCTATACATCTATACAAATAAACAAAATTGAAGTGTCTGTTTGTAATCTCGAAATAACAGCTTTTTACTATATGCATATGAAAGTATATACGGTACTTATAACAAAAACACGACTTTTAAAATATTTGTCTGTCTGTCTGTTAGTTCCGGCTAATCTCCGGAACGGCTGGGCCGATTTTGACCGGACTTTCACTGGCAGATAGCTGATGTTATAAGAAGTAACTTAGGCTACTTTTATTTTAGAAAAATATTTACGGTTCCGCGCAAAGAATTAAAACCCATGAAATCCAATTATAATAAATTCGCGTGGGGGTGAAGTCGTGAGGAACAGCTAGTATTCTATAAGCTGTGTAAAAGTGAATGTGTCTTTGTGTGTATACGCATCTTTAGTAACAGGTTTTTATATTTCACAATATCTATACATATCTAAAAGCCATTTTAAGAATGTACCAACTGGAAAATTTAGCCATATTCAACACGCAGATCATTAACAGATGGGCCGGCTCCAACCGGGGTAGTACCACGACCTCACAGAAAACCAGCGTGAAGTAGAGGTTTACCTATGCGTTTCGCTTGGTGAGTGCAGGTGGCCGGAGGCCCTTTTTACTGGAAATGAGGCATTCCATCTTAGTCCTCACGGGTGACAACGCATCTACATTTTGATTTGTAACAGAGGATAGATGTAGATGTCTATGGGCCGCAGCAACCACTTACAATCAGGTGGACTGTGTGCTCGTTTGTCATCCTTATCCTATAAAAAAAAAAACGCTGGGCAGGAGGCTTTACGAGCGCATAACTTATACCCTCGCACTGAAGGTGCAATCGCTCCCCATAAATTAATATATTTACTGATATTTTTTGGTCACTTCTGCAAACACTCATTCACACTTATAACTTTCAAGTAATTAAAAAACTGGATGTAACATTATTCTGACACAATCCAAAGTTATTTGATATGAAGTACATATTATTTAAAATGCTCGTATAAAACAAAGACACGTCTAAGTCATTGTTATGTGACTATCAAAGGGTGAAAAATGGTACAAGACATGCTAGAACTACCGAGCGTAAAAATGAGTGGAAGCTTTTTGTTAATGTATGATACTCGTGCTAGCGTTTCTCAAAGTGTAAAAAGAGATTGAACGAACTTTTAATAAAGAAACCCTTTTAAAAAAATTAATATAATATCTTATAAATTTGGTTTACAAAACGAAAGAAAAAACTATTGTATTTACAATGGAATTGAAGACAATGGAATAACTAGGATAAAATTATTTTAAAAAAAGGTCCTCGAAAGCAGTTTTATAAAATTATTTAGAAAATAAAGGAAATGCAGAAAAGAATGGCAGAGTCGGCAATGTACGGTCCCAGACGAAGGTTTATTGACCAATTTGACGATATATTGAAGTTGTGCAAGAGTCTCTTAACCGACTAGCATGTATGTTAGTCATGTTTTATGTGGTAGAGTCATGCTGCTACTATATTAGTAGTATAGTTGTAGCACGAATGGGTCGGCTCGACCGGGGAAGGACCTCGCTCTCACAGAATACCAGCGTCAAATACCAGCTTAACACTGCTGTGTTTCGTATGGTGAGTGTAGAGAACCGGAGACCCGTTTTACTGGAAAAGAGGCATTCCATCTTAGCCCTCACGGGTGACAACGCATCTGCATTTTGATTCGCAAACGAGGATAAATGTAGATATCTATGGGCTACAGCAACCACTTACCATCAGGTGGACTGTGTGCTCGTTTGTCATCCTCTCCTATAAAAAAAAATGGTAGACCAGGCGGCGAGAGAGCTGTGTCAGAATCATGTCAAATGGAAATCCGTAGTCTTTGCCTACCCCTCTGGGTGACAGGTGTGATTGTTTATGTATTATGTATGTAAAATAGAAGAGTGTCTTAAAATGAAACAGTTTAACCAAGTTTATTCTTTCAAAAATATTAATAAGTTCTGAGTAGTAGCACTATAAGACTGTTTCTGTATCTTGTGTGTACATAAATATATAAAAAAAGTTTGAAGGTCTTTACGACATTGATTAGGTTGACAATGTAAAGAACCTATTTAGGTAGTAAATTAAAAATTAAAGAAACCCCTCCCATTGCTAAGCATAGGCCCCCTCTCATTTCTGGGAGAGATTAAGTACAAAGACGTGTCTTGGCGACCTCCACATGTCTTCGAAATACTT